ATCGAAAAAAGGGGGCACCGTGTTGCATTATGCAATCCTGATAAAACTAATCTGCTCCCTTCTCATCTTCTGTAGCTCGCAATCTCGCGTCGCAATAAAAATAATCGTCGGATGTCGTGCAAGACACGAACCGACCATCCCACGAATATTTTTCATCAAACAAATTTCTCACAAAATCGCAAAAACTGTACGCAGAAACAAAACGCACGGTGTAAAAAATACTATAAAATTGGAAGAAACGCGATAAAACATCACATTATTTCCACGATTATACTATTCTCCAATAAAAAACGAAAAGCGTAGATAGTATAAAAGAAAAACGTATTTTTCGTTTTGATTATGTGGTAACAGTGTCCATGCGTTTGAGCACTAAAAATATCGACGAATATTCCATGTTCGAGTTACATGCTATAATTGATCTTTCTTTTATTAGTACTTGATTAAGTCTCGGTGCGAACGCGTGCACACTGCAATCTATGGCACTAAATATTCACGTTATTTTCTGTAATTTTTAATTTTACTCTCGTATCAGCACAAAATTTATCTTCTTCGTATGCAACTCACACAACAAGTATTCCGTTTCGTCAGTCAAAGATTCTGCACGCACAATAAAATTATTCGTCATGAATCAATTATTTAAGCGCGGCACTCTCTTAAAAGAAAAATAATAAAAATAACTTTTGCGAAATATCGATCATAAAGCATAAAAATTCTTGATTTATATTTAATTATATTTCTAACAATATAAAATTGTCAGCTTGATTTTTCTAATAAAATGTATAATAATCGACTTACAATTTCAATAGTAAGTGTTATTCCATTTTATCAAATACAAAATTTTTCGCGCAAAAATAATCGATTATTGTAAAATTACTTCCTTATTTTGTCGTGAACTAAAAACAGAAAAAAATGCTTCAATGTTCCTCTCGTGTAACTCTTATCATTTTTTTTTTTTTGTATTTCTTCCTTATCATTTTTGTTTCATTTTTTCTAAATAATACCTAATAAAAGCCAAGAGGCTCGTAATCCTCTCGGCCCTAGGCTCGGCACTCGTAACTAGGGTTCCAATCGACCGGTGCCGAAGCCCATTTGCCCATTTCCGTACACCCTTGCATTTACTCGCAGTAGCGAAATCTCTCAAAGAGAAGATCGCTATCGCGTTTAGACTTTAAAATCATCCCTTCAATCTGGTGCCCCGCATACGGTTCCCATTTTTACGTACCTGTCGTGCAGAGTTAAAAATGTAATCTTGGATTTATTCCCGAGTAAAACTCCAAGATGTGTATTCGTACATATGTTCTCACGGCATATGTGCGAACATGTATGTGGTTGTTCCGTGTATGTTTTGCTATAACGACACGCGATGTCTTCATTCGGCGAAAATAACACATCGCGCACGCGTGCATGTGTATTAGATACATATGTGTGTGTGTGTGTGTGTGTGTGTGTGTGCGTGTGTGCGTGTGCACGTGTGTGTGTGTTCGATGCACCAGGTTCTGCCTCTGACAGACGCAAAACGGGTCAATCATATACACGTTTACATTTATATTGATGAATATCAATATTAAAAAAAGAAGAAGTTTTCCTTGAGATATTTTTTGATAGCGGGGCACCAGCAGGAGAAGTTAAATTCTCCCTTTGTGGAGGGTTCAAAATATTAATCGTCTTTCTTGCATTTTATATATACATATATATATATATATATATATAAGATACAAGGGTTAAGTACGGGGAATGGGGGTGGACCTCGCGCGCCCTGCCGATCAGGACTTGTACCTCACACAACTCCCTAGTTACGAGTACCGAGACCTAGTGATAGCCGACTGACTTGATCACGCACGATCTTAATTGCTTTTTTCTTCTCGAATTCGTCACATTTCTCGATTTCACATTATCCATATAATTTCCCTTATATTACTTTCGCTCAACTCGATCCCGATCGCACACCTGCGGCGCAAGTTTACTTAAAGAATTTTGTAGTTCGTCTACTATACATTACTTGCTCGACGAACTCCTCACAGTCTCATTATCTTAAATTCACATTACGTTGTCAAGAGTCTCGGTAACCTCAAATTAAAAATTCGCAATAAATTAAACGTTATAGTCTATCTGTTTTCGTTAAACACGACCCACACACGCTACAACTCGCTGTATTGCGTTCTCATTCGCTCTCCGTCTTACACACGATCCCTAAGTTATTCCGATCGTTCAGTTTAAAAATAGACATAATATTCATCTTATTCTTTCTGTGACGCATTCTATGAGGCTTAATCCTATTACGTATATCCAAATCACGATTAATATCAGCGAATCTAATCGATATCGGTTTTCCAAGCTAATTCGTCCTCGTTACTATGACTTCGCTCGAGGAAGATAGGCGCCGCGACGCAACGAAGAAAGATACGCGTGTGTACGCCCACGAGAGGCTACCTAAAGAAAGTAGACGCCGCGTAGACGATATAATGTCTGTCGTAAACACGCCTACCGCGCGCGATAGTATCGATCATCATCCAACGCGCGCTGCATCGAGGCTGTTAGCTACTGAAGCGCGTGTGCCCTCGTCCCTATGTAGCGTAGTCCCGCATATAAATCGCGGTCAGAGTAAGAGAGTATTAAAAAAAGAAAGAAATAAAATAAGAAAGAAGAAAAACGAAACACCGACGTACAAATTATCCGTGCCTTGTTCGCCCTTCCTATAACTACGATTCAGTTGTAATCGGCTGTCTCTTTTCTCCGTTATATCTGATACGGTTTCATTGACACACGTGACATCAAAGTAATACTCGCGTGTATTGTTCTTGCTCTCTCTCTCTCTCTCTCTCTCTCTCTCTCTCTCTCTCTCTCTCTCTCTCTCTCTCTCTCGTGTTCGATTGCCTTATTCGAACTGAAAACGCTTACGAACCACTGAAACCGCTCTCTACCTCGATTTGCTCGCGCCTCTCTAGCTCATCCTATCTCTAGCTACTCAGCGACCTACTTCGTTGATGATGTTTCTCACACGAGACCGCGAACGCGCCCTCCTCCTCTTCCTCCTCCAATGCTTTGCTCTTTTATACAAATATCTCGCATGTCCCGTCCATCGTGCCATGTCGCGAGAGACCTTCAAGGAGAGACAGGAGAGAAGGCTGTGAGAGAATAAGAGAAAGAGAAGCGCGAGATGAAACGAACGTTTTTCACTCTCGAAGAAGTTTACTCGCGCGAACCGCATATCTCGTTATTTCCGATAACTACTGGATAGCAGATAAATATAACAGACCATGTCCCGCGACCGCACGAACAGCAAAACACAGAATTGATTGCATAAGGCTGCGAACCAACCGCAAGCTCATTCAGCGCTTTCGCACCAATAATAGCCCATTACGACTGATTTCTTAGGCAGACAAGAATATTTCTGAATATATTTTGAAACGCTGTTTCGATCGCTTCGAGCGAGAACCGATGTCAACGGACGACCGCTACATGCGATTCCCTGGCACGAAACAAATTTAGAAATATTCTTCTACTACGCTATGTAACAAAGTCTTGTGTAATCGAATTTGTGTCGGATCTATGGAATGGTTGTACAAAAATCTGCATAAATTAATGAAGAGTATTCTTAATCGTCACAAGTACATGTTAAAGTATTGCCAAATAACAGAGTATACTTGATGGATCCAAGAAGACAATGGATCTCCAACGTTCGACTTTACTAAAACCGAAGTCCTCTCTCTATTTAATTTCCTCCCTCTTCTCTTTCCAATTTTAAGTGTAATATTAATGAATCTTATCAAGGAATCTTAACACACGCGCGAGTAACATTTTATAATAAACGTAAAAAATACGATGAATAAATAAATTCTGTAGTTTCAAGCGATTAACAACCTCAAAACAAGCCGAATATCGAAAAAATTCAGTCTCCATTCGCGAAACAATCCGAAACACACTTATGGAAGTTAAATATACTAAAAGATTTCCAACAAGTAGCGCCGGTCCAACAATACAAGATCCTTTCGAACTCGCATAGGGCCTGCGAATTAGCATATCCTACCTCAACGTTCTCTTCCTTCTGGAAAGGTCGAGGACGTTAACAGAGAACTCTAAAAGTTGCTATCGTCACGCGTTTCAAGATCGATCAAGTGCTGGGTATCGTCTTCCTATAGAGTACAGACCCGTTTGCCCTGACTCGTGTGTTTCGACTCCCACGCGTGTATAATCTCGTAGCGAAGGCAAAGCGGAGATGGTCTCTGAGCTAACTTACTTAGTTAGTTGTGATTCAACTATCACGGCATACAGGTCACTTACGATTTTATCAGAGAGAGAGATCAATCATTCCTTAAAGGACGGACGGAATCGATCGCAAACGCGACCGATCCTGAAGAAACGCTGGTGAAGAAAGTAGTGCTATGCCTACGTATCGTTCTAATCATATCTATCCGATCAGACGTCCGACGCTATTTGACGCCAGATAAAGAGGACGAAATAGCGAAACACGATGACAAAAAAAAAAAGAGATAGAATCGCGGAGAAGAATAATGTCACGAGAGAAATAAGAAAGAAGTAGAAGAAGAAGAAGAAGAGATCTCGCGAAATCGGCACGAAAGTCGCGTGGTCTATTACGAGCACGGATAAACGGCCGAGCTAATGCTGTGGTAGGCGGCGAGGGCGGCGTGCGCGTGCGCTGGGGGCGCGGATGCGGCTGCGTGCGGCGAGGTGGCCATCGCGGCTGCCATCATCATCTGTTGGTGCGAACGCTTTAGGGAGTTGGGAGTTGTGGCGGCGCTACTTGGGGTAATAGCAGTAGTAGTGGTGGTGTTCGACTGCGGCGTAGGGTGGTGGTTTTGGCTTTGGTTTTGGTTGCTCAGTTGCAAGGGGGTGGTAGTGGCGGTACTGCCGATTCCGGCGTGATTACTATTATTATTGTTATTATTCTGGTGATGGTGATGGTGATGGTGGTGATGGTGATGGTGGGGGGTGAGCGCGTCGTGCGGATAATAAGACGTTGACGATGGTGAGGTACTCACGACGTCCGGCGTGCTGGCCCCGTCCGTGTGGCTGGTGCTGTCAGCGGTGCTTCTGGGTCCGCTGCCGTCCAGACCGTTACCCAACTCGGGTGGCTTCGAGCTCTCTCGGTCGTCGATCACGAGGTCGATCGGCATCTTGCCCTTCAGGCAGCTGATATACCGGTGGCAGAAGTTGTCGCACAGCTCGTGCACCTGAAACATGAAAGAAAGAGAAAGAACATTCGTTAGTTATAAAGAAGACTCAAGAACCAATTAAATCGGTTCTTCATTGACGAACCAAGATACCGTTTTCCGAAAGATACTTTCCAACGGGAGGCGGCTGATTAACCGCACCGCCGGAAATGATTAATAGATAGGTTCGATCGAATGAATCCAACCGATGCAGAGTTTTACCGTGGTGTGAGACGCAAAGAGAGGAAGAGAGAGGAAAGGAATAAAAAGTAAAAGAGAGACGCGGCGTATCGATACACGAAGATGGAGGAGAAGGATTGTGCGCGCATCTCGAGACCGTGGAAGCGGTCTCTGATAGCTGCTGAAGAGAAATCGATGCAACGAATGTAGAAGGAGCGCAAGAGAAAGAGGAGAGAAGATCTGACCGGTGTCCAGTCGACCAGAATGTTATGTATGCAAATGAAGCCTGACAGGCCTATAGGATAGCCAGCCGCGATCTTCCTCCGTTCCCCTTTCGACTCATCCTCCAACCCTCACCCTACTCCCCCCCGTCCCTCACTCTATCCTCCTGCCTGATTCGCCTCCTTGATTTCGTTTAGAATAAACGTATTATATAAGCAAAAGCAAATAAAATTCGTTATCTTGTTATATGTAAATCGTCGGCGAGTAGAGATATTACGAAGCCGCCGCACGGTCCTCGCAAACGTACACCACCCTCTCTCTTTCGTTCCCGGGGCTACCTTGCACGCATTACCTTGCCCACCTCTATCGGCCTAGAGCTCGCTTATAACACTCTTATTAAGCATTTATATATAATAGAGAAGACGGCCATCTTTGCCGTAGGCGGCACCGTCCAATGCGGTAGCGTGCACACAAACGTAGGACAATGCACATGTTTATCATCCGTTAAGCGCATGCGAAAAGACTTGCAATTGGGTTTCCCCTGACCGACCGAGAAACTCGACGACGAGCAATTCGTACTTGATCGCTCGAAGCGAGCAAGGTAAATGAACGTACATCGTCTATATAGAGATAGACGCGGATATATAGAAACTTACTACTTATATTGATGCTCGTGATAATCAACATTGCAAGGAAACTACCAGTCTAATCAAACATTTTGCATATCGGAGATAAGATTGCAGATTATCAAATCGTTTTCGTTTAGCTTGCGAAAGGTGACTCAATGACGATATTATTAGGAGCGATCAATAAGATCGTTATGTGTATTATGCAAAGTCACTACAGAACGACGATGTATTTTGCATCGATCGGCGAGCATTCGTCACGCTCGTTTACCTGTCTTCAAAACTAAGAGGCCTCTCATCCAGACCGATAATGCGACAACCTCCGGTCCATTGACTGCGCTTCTTCCATTGCGGCACCAAATCTTTTTTCCTGTTCTATTTGCCTCGACGTATCACCGCGACGTATAGTAACACAATGCCTTCCTCGGGATGATTAAACTCTCTCTTTCTCTCTCTCTCTCTCTCTCTCTTTCTCTCTCTCTCTCTCTCTCTCTCTCTCTCTCTCTCTCTCTCTCTCTCTCTCTTTACTACAAGAATCTAGAGGCGGATAGAAAGAGACTTGGAAGGACAGCAGCTATAATGTTGAACTGGTTAGAATTTGATCCACTGGGAGTCGAGTCGAACCGAGCGCGACAATGCTCAGCGAAAAAAGAAATTAAAGGAAGAGTCTACGTTCCCTTTTTACCGTCTAATGCATCGAATCGATTCTTTTTGCGCTTTGATTTCAACAATATTCTTTTAAAATTTTAGAAATGCATTTCAATTTTGTCACGATTTGCGTTAATGATCAACTTGAAAGTAATGATTAATAATTTATAAAAAGATGAAATATTAAATCGATATATTTGTGAAAAGATATTAATTTATCAGATTAATTCTAATAAGTAAAACTGGTATTAATAATACATCTCGAAAGAAGAATATCCCGGTTGGAGCTCAATAACTGATGGATTCAACTATAACATAAAACATGATACCATCGTCTTGGTACACGCGAATTTTTGCAATCTATCCTACCATTGAACCGCGTCATCCTATATACCGTGGATGATGATCTCAGAGGGAACTGATACAGGATATAGGGAGGTCGTCCCAGGCGATATGACGAGACGCTCGATCGCTTTTGGCGGTCATCGAAATAGCAAAAGGACAACGTGGTTAGGTCCAATCGTTTTGGAGAGAGAATGTTGTGTCCGAGGATATCTCGTGGTGCGCGATACGACAAAGTGGCCCGTTATCTGGCGAACGAAGGCGATCGAAACAAATTTCGGGTTGCGAACCCGCCCTACGTCCGTAATTGGACGCCATACGAAAATAGTCCTTGGGATCTGAATACGCTACTTAAAGTTTTAGCACAAGTTAAATTACGATTCAATTTCGAATCGAGGGTTAGTATCGATCGAATTAAACTTTTAGTAAGGACGCTACGATTAAAGATTTAAACAGCTGCGATAATACTATTTCCATCGGTGTTCTCGAGCGAAAACGGAAACGACAGCCACTCGAAATCGATGAGCGATTTCATCTTCCGGTTGCTTCTTGAGTTATTTATCGCGTGAATAAAACAGTCATCGTCATCGCATCTATGCGATTATTTACAAAGAATTGAGCAATAAGATTTTGTTAAAAAATGTTTTAAATAAAAGAACAAAATAGTGAGATGTAAAAATATCACAAAAGATTCATTGGGAAACGACTAATTCAAAATTATTTTCGTTTCATAATTTAATAACTATATTTAATAATTCGATGGCAATGATGACTTTTGCAAAAACATCTTTTTAAGCGAATTGCTTTATTAAATTATTATTCAATTGCTTTCGACAATATTTCCTCGCAGCAAGCGCGCACGAAATTCTGAATCAAAATCCAGATTTTCATCGAAATTAGATACTATAACAATCCTGATTTTAATTTTATTCAAATTTTAATAATATGAAAAATGTAGCATATACATATAGTTCATGTAATTACTTTAAAATAAGAAATTATACACACACACATGGAAGTACGAATTAAAAACTTATTGTCTATTGTATCGTTATATTTCATGTATTTAAAACGATGTCGTTTTAAAGATGAAGAGACTAATTATTCCGAAACCAGTTTTCCATTGAAAGAGAGAACATTTAAACGATTCTCCCTTTTTCTCAGTCATCCTGTTGTCATGGAAGGAAAGAGTAGGTACTTGGCGCGCTGTGACATTATACGAACTCGAGGACCTCGGTACCGTCTTTCATTCGGCCTCGAAATTGCTCGAAAATTTACGTAAACGAAGGAAAGAACGGGTAAACGTCTCCCTATCTTACATCCGCCTCTTCCTTCCTACCTCGCCTCTTCACGAACTCTCAGAAAGGCAAACGCCGAAGAATGGAACGGATCCAAGGTACATACGAGTGAGAGAGTAGAAAAGAAGGAACACGGGGAACCCCATTTACGGCACAATGGGCTCCTTTGAAGCCGAAGGTAATGAAGGTTTCGGGGTGTCTGTCTCGGTCTCCCTCTCTCGTGGCCTGATTCGCAACCTGACCACCCTTACGGCACGCACAGGATATCTATATACCGGGTGTGCATGTCGAACGAGCGGGGTCATCGCTTCCTTCCCTTTCCACTGCGATATCGATAACGATGAGAAACTTTGTTCCACAACACTCTATCGGATAATCCTTCTGATAAAAATCTCAGCCAATTCTACACATAAACTTGTGCGACGTACGTTATCTTTCGAATAAATTTATGTTTATTTATATATAAAAAAAAATCTCGTTATGAGGCAGTTAAGATTTAATTTCCATATCGTCTCGGCCAAGATTCCGTGTGTGGTAGGAAATACCTTAAAGTTCCTATACGCGGCACGTACGTATGCATGCTGAGGCACAAGGATATTCCAGCAGGAGAGAGCGACGTGCGCTAGCATAGGTTTAGAACCAGTTCCGTACGCGGCACGTCCACGAGCAGGAGGTCGCCCGCGTGTTGTACCAGTACGAATCCCGTTGGTATGCACTGTGTACGCCATAATATCCTATAAGAAATTTACCGCTCTCTAACCGGTGTACGCGGGAAGCAGTTGTCCAGAGTTCCATCTACGAAGAGAAGAACGCGAGTAGGATGATAGAAAGGGAGAAAAAGAGACGACTACGCCATCAGAAAATGCCGCGAAGGCAGAGAGAGAGGGAGAGAGAGAGAGAGAGAGAGAGAGATGAGAGAGAGAGAGAGAGAGAGAGAGAGAGAGAGAGAGAGAGAGAGAGAGAGAGAGCGAGCGAGAAGGGAAAAAGGGCCTGACCGAACCTTCCTTCCGCGCACCGGGCCCGGCAAAACGTAATTATGCTAATACGCGATTGGTTCGAAAATGTTAAATGCACGAGGCAGAGCACCGCGGGCTACCATGAGCCTGCCTCCATTGGTTCCCTCTCTTCCGTTCTCTATGCTACTCTCTCTCTCCCCCTCCCTCTCCTTTATCTCATTCTCCGTTCGTCTTTCTCTCCTCCACTTTGAGCACAGATATTTATGGAATCTTCTTCATCGCGCCCGCTGCATTCCGCTCCACTCGCTCGCGTCTCGTCTCGTCTCGTCTCGACTCGTCTCGTCCCGTCTTGTCTAGAAGAGGCCCCGGGGACCAGAAACGTTTCAATCTCCGTTACCATCGATGGCGTGCCAAGCCGCGTTTCGTCTCCAGACTTTGGGAGTAGGGATTCGACATACATGAGAAAGCCCATTTTATACATACTGTTAACCGAATATCGAGTACTTTCGCGGCATTGACAGTATCGTTTCCAGCATTCGAAGAATATACCCGCAGCCACCCATGTTATCTCTCGCATAACGCGCGTCTGCTAATTTCTTTAATCGTGTGCTTCCATTAACGAGGGCAAATTTAGAGGCATGGCTAAACGAGTAATAAGTGTTATCGCGATAAACCGAAACGTCGCTGTAATTTCGAGCTCCAATTAGTAAATTCATTTACCTTGATAAGCCGACGCGAAGGCAAAGCAGCATTCGATGATTTATTCGCTAACTTTTTAAACGAGTGTAAATAGTTTACAAAATTCATATTATGTCTAATTCCATTTTATACTGATACGTATTCCATTTGTGTCGTAACGCCAAAATGGAACTTGAGCCAAAATTTTCCGTCATGGATAAATATAAATCTTCATGGAACTCTTTCTCTCTCTCTCTCTCTCTCTCTCTCTAATACTATGCTGACTTTGGCGCATCGAAGATACTTGAATCCGCCGCGGGTAGTGCGGCATTATAATAATGTAAACGCCGTAAACGAAAAAAATTGCTATAAAATTACGCGCGATCGAACCGGACGAGTGAGAGAGGGCCGATCGACAGCGAAGCATCACGAAGAAGTCTCGAGAGCGCACGGCGGCCAATGGCTGCCGCCACGTCAGCTGCCATTTCGATGAAAATGCGATGGATGTCCGCTATTTTGTATGATAAAATATCGCTACAAAAACGTCTGAGTAAATCAAACCAGCCTTCGTATCCTGCGGGCATAGTCGTCTGAAAAGAGAGCGAGGACCTATCGAAAAATCCATGCACGTTGCATCGGGAGAGCTCTATTAGCCTACCTCTCTCGCCAATACATTGCAAAGCAAAGAAAAAGAAAATGCAGAGAATCTCGTAAAACACAGTAACCGCAGTCAAGAGCCCTTTCGCATCGCTAATGAAAAGTCTTGGAATTTTCCTCAACAGATGTCTCACTTTCACCGTTTACACGTGGCTATGTAATTCCACGTTGTTCTGTGACTGACCGGCAGGTAAAATGTTGGCGAATATTGTCATTTCGTTTCGCCAATATTTCGTTTCGGAAAGAAGACAAGGTGTCGTAACAAATAAAGAAAGAGGAAAAAAAAAAAGAAAAATGGAACTACCGTTCCAAAGCAAACAACTGCGAAGTTGGTAAAGCGTCTGTCGCCGTCCAACCATTGGACAGTAAAATGACTCCACTTACGTGTAGAGTTGGTTCACGTCGTAGTCTCGACGAATGCGTTGTAGATGTCAAGCTTTCACCGCAATTACGGAAGATTGCCCCCGCAGTCATAACAGTCGTTTTTCAGGTGTTAAAGACAACTTATTGGCAAACGGGCGCGGTAATTTCTCACAATAAGACCGATCGCGAGAATTTCCAATCGACCACTACTATAGTTTTAAGTCGGAAAATTACTTTTTGCATCAACAACACACACAGATAATTTTCACGCAATGTTTTTAAATAGAACAAGTTGTAACAGAGGAGTCTATATAAGCTAATGATATTTCCAGAATTTACACTATATATATTGTATATATATTCAATTCAGCAATAAAATAACTATAATTTTAGAACAAACGACACTTCTTAAAAGATGTTAAAATATTATGGAAAACAATTCTGATGAAAATTTATTCGTTAATAATAATAATAATGGAAGGAATAGGTGATTACAGTAATAAATCGCGCCCACATCAGTTGGATTAATATTAACATTATGAGCCTTATAATGCAGACGTGAAGGATACTCACCTTTTCGAGCTCGAGGAGGTGAAACCGGAGGACCTGAATCGCTTGAACCATCTGAAACGAGAAAAAAACAATTGAATAAAATACATTCGCCGAACGCAAAGGCAGAAAAAAGATATTGGATGATAAGAGGCTGGTTCGAAGAGGAAAAGAAATGACGAAGGAAAGACTGCAGCAGGGATCGGGGAAGACGATAGGGTAGAAGGAACATGAAGCAGAGACGTGATTTAACCACACGCTGCTGCATCGTCAACGGCAACAGACCTTTATTTTTTATTTGCACGTTCGTATTTTCATTTATTTCTTCCGTCGCGCGATATCACCGTTGCGATGAGACAGCGATAGTTGCGGTGGCGCGACGGTTATTAACGGGAATTCATTATTATTGCATCTGCATTTCGCTAATTCCGAATCTGAACCTGGGAGTGCAGAATTCGTGCAGGGTACACGATGATTTCGATATCACGGGTCAGAGAAATACAAGGGGTTTGGCACAGAATGTTCATTAATAATCGTCGATTAACAATTTCTATTTTCTCAAGTTCTTAAAAGAAAAAAAATTAAAAAAAAAAAAAAAAAAAAGAAAAATAATCCAAAACCATATTGCCAGAAAAAAATTTGCCGTACGATATTTCCAATGCATGATGCGTGCAATGCGCATCTATCGCAATGTTTAGAAGAAAAATACCAGAATATAAAGTTCGATAAGCGAGTCGACGCGACAACGCGACGGTGCGACATCGAAAGGTAATAATTGTTTCTTTCCTTTTTTTTCCTTTCTTTTTTAGACGTGTCCGTAGTATCGAAAGTGTGTCCTCGGAAGGACCGTCGGTATAATTTTCCGATACGCCATTAACATTTAAGGCCACCCGAGATTCCCCCATGCAATCTCTAAGTGAAGAGGAGATCGTACGTTGCGGCAACGTCGTTTTCTTTCGGAGACAGCAGAAGCGGCGATTCAATTAGGCAAAGCGGCAATCTTAATTGTTAATTAACATTATATTTATGCAATTATGGTCCATTATGATTCTGCGGGGCCGATAACGAAGCGGTCGCGATGAGTGCTCCTGAGATAGTGGACTCATCCGAGGCCTACCTACTACCTACCTCCTGCCTCCTCATCATCCTTTCGCCATGGAAGGATACGCTCTAAGCGAGGCAGGTATAATGCCCGAGTCTGTAACTACCATGAATGGCAAGCGGACGAGATATCACTTCGCCAAAATGCATTTCAAAGCTTGTATGGGATAAATAGTAAAAAAAAAATATTTTGCGAGTAATAAAACAAATGATTATGAGACTTGTATATTTACTAAAAATTTATTATTATATACTGTTTCCTTAATACATGACTTATCAAAAAAAGAGCAACCATAAGAAGAGTCATGCATCAAAGTACAGCTTATGAATGTAGCATCCAAAAAGTTACGGAAATATTGCAGGTAATCCCTTATTCGGAAGTTGATCCGCTTGATATCGAAATTACTATAAGCAAAAAATTGAATTTGCTAATAGAATAAAGAATAATTGTCCCCCCACGTTATACACGACAGGCCGTCAGTTCAGCGTCAAAGGAATATGTATCAGGTCTTCGACACTTCAGGGCTCCTCGTCGACGAACGGACAGCAAAGAAGAAAGAGGAAAGAGTGAGAGTAGATAAGAAAAGAAACAAGAACGCGATGAAGCAGAAAGAGAGAGAGAGAGAGAGAGAGAGAGAGCGCTGGAAGAAAAAGCGAAGATGGTATCGGTCCAGTAACGAACACACAACACAGAACACCCGGGTGCTCCTTCGCGAGATGGTGCGAGGAAACGATTCGCCACGATGTGTTTCTCGTCTCTCCTTCTCGCCTTCGACGTTATACACAATGTGTTCTCTATATTCTCCGACAGTTTTGTTGCTTCCCCCGACCAATAACGACGTAGTTACCACGACTTAGCACGAGCCCTTGTGCATACTCTCGATCGGTGCGAGAACAACATCACGAATATCCTTCGTTTTGACATAAGACTTTACACAATTTGTAAGAAATAAGGCGTTTATCTTAAAATAAAAAAATTCTAGCTAAATATAAAATTCAAAGCGTACTTGATCACATTTGATCATGACGAATTATTTTGGTTGAGATTCTATCCATGTATGTTTTCTTGTAATAGTTACGCGAAAAATTTTTAATTTCATCGAGATATAAATAATGTATTCACTGTCTTTTCAGTATGTAGATCTTCCACAACAGTACGCTTGTCTGCAGTATCTCTAACTATCGCGCGAATGAAGCTCTTCGTGATGTCTAGTCCAGGCCACGTCACTCCACCGTCACTCACTCTCTCTCTCTCTCTCTCTCTCTTATATTTTCTTCGTCGGCTCTCTTGCTCCGCTTGCGATCTTTCGGCTCGGGAGGTTTTGCCACGATCGCTCATCACGTGTTATTAATTAGGCTTGCCGAGCGGCCAAGTATCTCCCAAGCAGGGGAAGCCGAGTCGGAGGAGGAAGAAGCGAAGGAAGAAGAAAAACTAAGAAACACACGAAGAAACAGGGAGATGGTGTTATTTATAAGCCGACAGGGACGACGCAGTCGGAAGCAACGCCCGATGATGAAGGGAGCCCCTACTTTGAATCTCGCGCTCTCTCTCTCTCTTTCGTTCTTTCGTCGTCACCGTATGTGTGTTGCTTTCTTTTACTTTTCTTTTCCCCCGCGGTCGCTTCTACTCAAGTGTCACTACACCGTGACGTGTGATGCATGTTGCACCGACGAATGCGTGATATATACGTGAAATACGCGATGCACATGTACGAAAGTGTAAATGAGAATGCGTTGGGATTTCGCACCTTGCGAATGCTGTACTCTAAACATCTGGTCAGAACTCGTGGATATTTCGTGAGTGATTCAAATCACATTTCAAACCACTTCATGGATTATAATGTGGAAAATATTGACTTTATTTTTAAAAATAGCTATTACAGTAAAAGCATTAATAAAAAAAAAAAAAAAAAAAAAAAGAGCAGGTACAGCAATCCATTATTGCATAAGGAGGACGATAGAATGTCAATAATGAAATTATCAAGAAGCGTCTTCGTTCATTTCTTGCAAATAATAAAGAATGTATATGCACTTGTCGGTAGAGTTCCCAATTAATATACGCCATTCTTTAGATTGACAAAATTAACTGCATGGATACTGTCAATGACGTAAATGCAGGCATACGCCACTGCTCCACTTTTATGCCAATCGATTCCATTATACGTGCATCTATATATTAAATAACGCGTTGCCAACGTTCTTTTATAATTGGAACGTATACACATAACTGTCATTATTAATATAAATGTAAATTTTGAGATTAAAGTGAGTATCAAGGTTAAAAGATAGTGATAAATAAAAAAATTCACATGGCAGGTCAATCCGTTTCGTGATGCGCGGTTCGTTAAAGCACCACGATTAGCATCTTATAATTGATTGCAAACGATTTTTGAGGAAATTAAATTCGATCTCGGCAGCGCTGCATAAATCTTCGCGCGTAATATACCGGTCGTTTTCAACACTTCCAGTCCAGCAAAGTAGTACGGTGAAGTCGTGATACGACCTTGATGAGATCGTTATATCGCGCAGTCAGGTCGGTACCCGTATAGGTGGACCTTGCCGGGCAGATGGGCTCGTATATACAGCTCATATTAATTAGTCCGCATACGCGCGCGACGGCGGAAAAAGGAACGTGATGGCGACTGAAGAGCGAAAGTGAGACTACCAAAGAGATCATCAGATAGAGAGAGAGAGAGAGAGAGAGAGACAAGACAAACGAGAGTGAATGGTCGACTGTGTGTATGAGGGCTGGGCATTCGTTCGCGTGGAAAAGAATTCATAAAATTGTATCGTATATGTATAAATGCGCAGTCACGTTGACGGGAACATCTCGCGTTATTGATTCAAAAAACCTAATTAATTAACAAACATTTCGCATACTTCCTACGAGTTCGCACGAGAATTGTTTCCCGTATCGCGTATGTCTTCATTGCCTGAAAGAAAACGAGAAATAAAACCAAACATGTGGGAAAAAGAAGCTAGGTTTGCGATCGAAATAAATAATCAAACACTGAAAGATAGGAAACCGAAAAAGAGATGCGCTTGAATAGAAATAATTTGCGGGCATATTTGTAGAGAAACAAAAAATTCGTGTGCAATTTCTTCAATTCTCTCAGTCAAAAAAAATGGCATATATTATAGCTCTGATAAACACAAATGAAGGGGTCTAAAACTGTTGATAAAATCGCTTCGATTCTCGCGAGATTGCTGAGTACCGAGGTAATACACGTGAGCCTCACGTCAAGTCATTGCGAAACGGTATGTATGATGGTGCGATTAACAGTCGAAATAATCGTCGTCTGAATTAAATAACACGTCGCGTCCCAACGTATCTAAATCAAGTTTTCAAATGACACAAGGATGGATCAATCGACGCGCGACGCCAAAATATCGAGCGTAAACAGATCGAAATGTAAATTGCGACATGTAATATGAAAATTGTTGTCACCCTCTGAGCCTGTATGAGCGCAAGCAGCTCTAATGAATAGTTATTAATTGTATCACTTATTAACGAGGGACATCATAGGGGCGACAACTCTTATCGATGTTCAATAATTTACGAGGTAAGCGTCCTCTTTCTCAGATTACTCGGCCAACTCTGCCCTCCCCTCTCTCTCTACGCTTTCATTTCTCCTATCGAGAATTTCGCGCCAATTATAATCGTACGTTCAAAGAGTACATCCCGACTGTCTCATTATCACTTTTTAGCTTCAGCGTTAAAATGACAAAAAAATGCTTTGGCCAACGTTATCTTTATCACCAACGACATCGCTCGTCGACCCGCGATAATTAATTATTTCAATCTATACCGACAAATATCACAATCGCGCTCGACGTAACAATCCAAATATACTTATTCATGCACAATTTGTCCAAAATAACACTTATCACATACAATATTCTTCCTCAAGTAAACCATAGCTCTTTCGTAATGTCGTAAAAAAAAAATTCGGTATATACTAAATTCGATCGTT